CCCCAAAACCCCAAAACCCCAAAACCCCATCTTAATAGTATATTATTGAATTAATCGTAATAAGCATTGAACATATCCACATCTTCTTGGTAGGCATCAGCAGGGAACTCTGTAGATTCTTGTCCTGTAGGATTTTCTGTACTTTCCTGACCAATGGAGTTAGTCTCATCTGTCATTGAATTATTCTCATGGCTTAAAGAGGCTTGCTCTTCAGTTGAATCGTTTACAGGAGCGCTACTCTCATTTGGGGACTCAGCACTCCCTTCTGTAATAACTTCTTGAGGTCTAGCTATACCTGCTGAGTTTTCGTTGCTACTAGGAGCTTCTTGAGAAGATTCTGATTGAGAGTAATCTCCACTTGATGAAGAAGAGAGCTCACACACTTCATCAAATCTAGATCCTGGCTGAAGATTTCTTATTTGAGTATTCAGACCTCTAAAAGAGGCAGGAGAAGTAGCATATGAGCGTTGCTGAGGTTGTGCTCTGAAAGTATTAGAAGCTAAGGGTCTTGGAGGTTCTTTTGGTCTTCAACTATTGTTTCTCATGTTTTCCAGAAGTTCTTTTAGTTTATTCTTTTCATCTCCTTTAATAGGATCTTTTTCAATATTGGCACAATAACAGACTTTTTCGGTTTTTCATCTTCAGGTGTTTCTGGTTCTTGATGGATTAAAGATGAATTTTGCATAGGAAAGCTGACCTGTGCTTGTGGTTGCATTTTTGTAATATGAAGTTGCTCTTCTTCCTCATCATCATCTTCTTCATCGTCTTCTTCTTCACTCTCACTCATCGATGGATTATTAAACAGAGGATTGGTGAAGCTTATTTTTGTTCCATAGGTTGGCTGAACTTTAACATTGTCACTTGGCTCAAATACAATCCTGTCTTTCTCCTCTGTTTCTTTAGAAGTAGTAAGATCGACCTGATTGGCTTTCTCTTGTTGCATTTGAGTATCTCTGCCCAATACTGCATCTAAATAGGAGTCGACAGACACAATATTTTCTTTTTGCTTTGTAGTTTTTATTGGAGTGTACATCTTGACACTTGGCTCATCTGAATCAATCTCAATAATTTCTGGTTGGTCATTTGTAATCTTTCTTTCACTAGGATTTTTGAAGATTTCTTTTGGCCTTACTAACGGAGCAGGAATTTTGAACTTTGATTGTGGGTTAAACCCTTTGGGCTGGCTAAGGTAATTTTTAATAGTATTCCTCTTTCTGTTTGTCAATTTGTTCATCTCTTCAGCATTCTTCATTGCTTCTAGGTGAGAGATTCTTTGAACTGGCTCAAAAGAATTATTTTGAGTTTCAGGTTCGTTATTCCCAGAATACATTCCAGAATTATGGGCTAGATCTGAAGGTTCAATGCTTGTTCTAGGAGCATTAAATTTCTTGATTCCATATCAATGGTATATCTTTTTCTTCTGAGACAATTCTTGTTTTCCAGCTTTAATGATACTACTATTCACCTGTCTGGCATCATTAATATTCGACTCTTCTTTCTTCACCAAATCCTCTCCAAACCCAAAAACGCCTCCATCACCTCTCCTCTGAAACTTCCCCTCACTCATCCTCAACAACTCACTCGGGAACACCTGCTTCCTCCTCTTCGGATTAACATACTCAACCTGTTCATCATCCATGACACTCCTGACCAAAATCTCATCTTCATCCCACTCATCACTCTCTTCCCCCACCTTCATCCTCTTCTGCCCCACTATTCCTTCATCCACCCTCACTCTCTTCCCTCCTACCTTTCCTTCCTCTTCACTATCCTCCCTCTTCTCTTCCTCACTCGAACAAATCTTCTCTTCTGAACTCTGCCCACTACTATTATTCCCCTGTGTTCCTTCTATAGAGTACTTAATCTCTTCGGGAGGTTTCTTGAAGGGATCGAGGATCTTGGTCGAGAACGTACTAAGCAAGTGGGCGAGGGACGTGGCTGAGAGAGGGTTGTGGAGGTAGACTTTGTGCGTGAGAGGAGTGGGAGGAGGCTGGGTTTGGGAAGGAGAGGGTGGAAGGATTGGGTGTTCGGATTTTATGAGGAGGGGGGAGGGAGGAGGAGGGAGGGAGGTGGGGAGGTGTGGAGGAAGGGGTTTTTGGGGAGTGGCTTTGGTAGAGTCGGATGTGGCTTTTTGGGGGGAGTCGGGTTTGGGAGGGTTTTTGGGGTTGAGGAAAGGTGGTTTGGTATTTGGAGGAGGGGTGTTTTTGACTTTCTCTTTTTCTATTGATTTCTTTTTTTGATGGTTTCTTTTGCTCTTCGGTAGGAATTTTTGGTTTAGATGGCAGATCCTTCTTGCTTGTTGAACTCTTTTTGCTTTCATTCTCCTTTCTGTGATCAGATTTCTTTAAACTAGATGGTTTCTTACTGGGAATATCATTATCTAAAGGAGTCTTCTCTTTCTGAATTGTCTTAACCTCCTTCAAACTAGTTTCTGACTGTGATCTATGAGAAGATAGACAGGAGCTTTCAGATTGTTCCGATTCGCTATCACTCAACTTCTTTTCTTCTTCCTCTTTCTTTTTAGTTTCTTCAAGACTTTTTTTTGGACTAATTGTTTTCTTCTCTTCTTTCTTAAAAGTTGTTGTTTTCTTTTCTACGCTTTTTGGCTTTTCTTTTCTATCCTTTCTGGGAGATTGAGAGCTTTCTGAAGATCTGTTAAGGTTCTTTACAATCAAAGGGATCATTGCAATGCAATTATCAATAGTCTCACAAGCTCATGGTTCTAGGAATTTCCAAAATTCTTTGTTTGATTTGATCAGCTTTAACATTTTTGAGTAACTCCACCAGTGCTGTTCTGAAGTGAAATTCTTCCTGAAATTCTGCAACAGCTTTACTATAAAAAGAACTTTTTGGTAGGAATCTTTCTCTTTCTAAATGATTATAATAAGTATACTTACCTTCATTGTCGGCCAAAATCCTTTCATTCTGCCAATGAGATTGTTAAGGAATTCAGGAGTTATTTCTTTAGAGCTTTTGAGTTCTCTCCTAATCTGCGTTATTGTATCAGAATTTGACATATGGGGTGAACTCTTTCGCTTAGATTTAATGTATTAAAAGGATTACTAATTTTTTAGATCTTGTTAAACCAACTTGATAACAATTGGAAGCAATATTAAGATTATTTCCAATTTTGTAGTCTTTTCAATAGAATTTCAACTAAATTGAAATATTAAGGGGTTTTGGGGTTTTGGGGTTTTGGGG